TATATGCTTACTAATTTAAAAGTTATAGCATGAAAACTATAACAAACACAAAATGGTCAAGAGGTCGATCCCAGGGACTGAGCCCATGCTGAAAGAGTTAATTGAATTAGTAAAGACAATACTGAAACATAAAATCACAGTTGAACTTACCTTAAGGATTCAAAAACTAAACACAAGTGTTGTTTGTGGAAAAAATTACGAAAAAGGCGTAGGCAATGAAATTTATCATCTGGATCAGCATCATTTAACCTTCTTAATACATCCAATTCTTTCAACCCTGTTTTGTGCCTGAAAATATTACAAACATTTAATATTGGCTTTAAAATCAGTTTGTTAATTTGGTCCCAATAAATAAAAACTTAAGTACATTATATTGTTCATCCTTCCTATAACACTGACACATCTCATACATGTGTGTGTGTGTGTGTGTATATCTTATTATTTTCTATTCAACCGTTTTAAAATTTACCCTGTTTCTTAATCAACTTTTATTGAAGATTCTGGTTTATTGCTTTGATTCAAATCAAAGCAATTGATAGCAGCTGAAATACAACTGATCACATATTTTTCAAATAATTCTGACAAGCTAAAAATGGACAGTTTTCACTTCGTGCTTGAAAAATAATAAGCAAAATAAAATACATAACACTAATTTATTCTTAATTATTAACACTCCTTTTCTGACTTTGAAACTATTAGAAAATGAATACTACAATGAATCCACACAATATTTTTATGCACATAACAAAAAACCTGATTACATTAATTTTAACAAAATATTTTATACATGCCACAAAAAATGCATTCTTACATCACATCATTGTTGCGTATTATTTTGACTGCTACTTCTTGATTGCCACGCGCCATATCTCGAGCTCTCACAACATTGCTAAAAACACCTTGTCCAGTGTACCCATATACAGTATACCTGTTGTCCAGAACTTCTCCAATTCGGACTCCTAAAACAACAACAAATATAAGCAAAGCACTTAAGTTTATATTTCTTTATCCGAAAGGCTACAAAAAACATTTATGTAATATAAGAAAATTAAAAAATAATTATCCATTTTTTAAAAAAACTAACATTTCATTCTTAATCGACTTTAATGTTAAATAAAAGCATTACGTAGCACATAAAATTTAGAGAAAACCAATCTTTCTGAATCTCACAAAATATATTTACAACAATATGGTTAGAAAAGGTCAACGAGTTTCTATAAACTTCAAAATTTTCTGAAACCAAGCAGAAAAAAATTAAAACAACAAAAACTCTTATTGATCTTATTGTATTTTTCAAAATTAGTTTCGGCTATAAGTTGTAACTTTTTAATAGAGTTTTTGTGATATGGGATATAAGTATAAAACTCAGCGAATCTCAAAAAAGACATTATAAAAACATTCGCAATAAAAGTTAACATTGAATTTTTTTTTTCAAGTCACAAATCATATGTAATAACAAAAAACACTGAATGTAGAAAGCATATAATAAAGAAAAATGTATAAGCAACATATATAGATAAAGTTATGGAACACGAAACTTATCACTAGCTTGCCAAGGACTGATTTCCCATTTCAAAACTTTACCTCAGGTCAAAGTTAAAGAGACACCTGTACTTAACAAAGGCATTTATACTGTATATAGCTAGAGACTCTTTGAATTTCATGTGTGCAACCACTTAATCCATTCTTTAATAACATTCACAAATTAATACTTATAATACTATGCAGTTATTTTTTTACTCATACAACAAAGCCAGCAACCCCATTCATGTTTCAAGCTTTCAAGAACTAGTTAACCCTTTCGATACGGGTCACAGGTGAAAGGCCATGTCATCTCATTTGTTGACTCGCATTCAAAATTTTATTGAACTACTATTTCATGAATTTATGTCAGTAAGTTTGGTATCAAACTGTAGATTATAATTCAAATTTCAGATCTATACATTACTCAATTTCTTAATTTAAAAGTAAATATTAAAAAAAAAGGATAAACATCGATTTTTCTGTGTCACGTGGTATGTTGAATGCAGCAC